TTCCCCTCACTCCTATTATTCTTTTTTCCAACGACGAGTTTCGAGTAAGCACAAATTTTCATATGGAACAACTTTGTTACCAATAGCGTGGCAGGAATTACATATAAAGCGATAACATTGCGGTCGTTTTTTATCATTTGACAAGTGAAACTGCTGTGGGAAAAGTCTTTGGAACGAAAAAAGCATAGAGACCAGCGCAAATTGGCTGACTAGTATCTAACTTTATTTTAAACGAAAAATAAAACGTTGGAAAAGGATAATAAAGTCAGACCCAATAAAATAAATTGAACACATGATACATATATAGTAGTTATCCCATCAATAATTTATATGTCATATGTTTATATGCAAAAATGCGGGAGACAAAACTACATTTCCCATGTCAATCGATAACGACGAATATCACCTGAAAGCACATTAACCTAGGGTTGTTGATGTTCGACATGCACTCACGAACAAATAATACACTAAAATGAGAATCCCTGGCATTTGGTGGGCATTCGTTTATTCCATTGTGTAACGCATTAACGAACTTATTAGGGCAAACTGAGTTGATGTTGTTTTTTTGCAATAAAACGACAAAATATTGATGTTTTAGAAAACCTGTGAACCGTTTCCAACATTCCCTAATCTCAAGTTCTTTAACGCACAGACTATACAATGGAATAAACGAATGGCCATCATATGCCACGGATTTACGTGCTAGTGCTAGTCGACAATTACTGCACTAATTACCACTGTTATGTGATTTGTTATGGTACATGTCTCATATCGAGAGCATCGCCACAATCGTTGCTCGTGTTTTATTCGATATGGGTCCCACGCGAAATATACAACGCTTTCAATATACATGAACATTGATTGGACATTGAATTTGAACGCGCACCACACAAAGACTAAGACGCTTTACAGTCGTCAGAGCGAACTATATCCAGTAAAACAGATAATAGTTCAATTTGACGGAAGTTCATTTGCGCAAAATGTAATTGAATTAATCACAGTCCTTCACAATTTTAGTCGATAATAGCACAGTCCATATATTGATGTTGCAGCAATGCATGTCAAGCCATTTAACATTTTCTATTATGTATTATTATTATAGGCACTACTATTATATACAGACTGTATTTTCAAATTATATTTTCAATATAATAACGTACAACGGTGATTTAATTAAATCTCGTGTTCTTTAATTCTAATCAAATTACTTACACCATAAACCGTGACCATGTTTTTTTGGCTTCGATTTCTGCATCAATTGAATTTAGTTAATTTGTCGTGACCTCAAATATCACCCGTACATCATGATATACAGTATATATCTTGATATTCAAGTGTGTTTCGAGGCATTATAATACTAGGATCTAGGCAAAAGAAAACGTATCTTGATAGAAAGCTCGGAAATATAGAACATAACTTGGAAATGCATTACTAATCTCAATAGTACAGGACGAATGCTGAAAATACAGAAAACACTACTATAAAGGCCTTCCGTTTTCGACATTGTGAAATTCTATCGTTTTTGCGAGAAAAAAACCCAACAAAAAACTGATTTTGACAAGATAATTCAGAAATATACTAAAATAAGAGTAATTCAAAACGAAATATATTCCTAATGCACCAAACTAATTTTCATAATTACCGATTACACAAGAATATTACGGGAAAAAAAGATAATTTGCCATATTTGCGATATTCTCTATTTTTGCCTTTTATTTGTCTTATTATGTGTGAAAGAAGCTTAATGAAATTACAAACTATGTAGTGTGTTCGACAACTCATGTATGAACAATAACTTCAATAAATATGATTTTACTTGGTAAAAATACTGTATTGTCTGCATAAAAACGAAAGAATTTCACAATGTCGAAAACGGAAAGTCTTTTTCGCAGTGTTAGAATCGTTCTGAAAGGTTAAGACGCCATAACGCACTTTCACTATCTGTTAGTTCTGGTTATTCCATCACCAATCACACAATAATAAAACTTCAATACAACGTAAATGTATAACTGAAACCAACCAAACATTACACAACCATAATTTTAATTATGCTAGTTGACATCGTAATGAAATAACCATAAATCAAAATCACGATACGTTAAATTAAAAAATAAACAATACTCTTCGTTACAATAAACTCCGAACTGGGATATCGGGTGGTGTTTGTGTAGGGTGTGCAGTGTAATATTACTGAGTCGTCTTTTGTCTTTCAACGTTTCACTGTCGTTAATCACGTAGACGTGGACTAGCGGTAGATATAATGTTGCAAGAGACAACCTGACAGTTTTGAGAAAATGATGTAAACTCTCTTGAATGGCATGATATCCTGACACATTCATCAACCGATGTAGATATTTCTACATCCAGCGAGGTGCACTGAAGTGATTTCTCGAATACTCGACTGCAAACGTACGAAATTTCCACCCACCCAATGTTAAGCTTTCCGCCCATTCGGCGATATATTCAAGCGAAATAGAGAACTGAGAATTAATCGAACCATTCGATTATATGTAGACAGGATTTGTGAGACTCCATGGCGCCAACTGACTTACTTTCGGTAACGTGTGCAAATGACGTGAATAAATAATTTTCTCATTGACCAATCAACGCGCACCACGTTTAATTTCGGAGCGCAGATGAATCGTGTAGCAAATATACTGGAGTCTTTTTTTCAATAGCGAAGCGAAGAAACAGAGGCAATTGTGGTAGCTTGTCATAATCATTTTTATGCAAAGTAAAAAAAAATGTACCTTTCTCAATTCAAATGTTGTCTCATATACATTACATAAAACCTAAAGTATAAATTATGATTATATGCCGCTACAAAGCGATACCCCAGTAAAAAACACGCTGTCTAAGCCGCTCACATACTATTAAAGGGCGGTGGTCGTCGCGCTGCGCATGTGCGACATTTGTGTTTGTCCCACAATCCGATGCGCTCTTCCAATGGAAATCACTAGTACGAGTAAACAAAACGTAAGCTGACGAAAAAAATCTGTATGCAACTGTTATGGAACTGGACGTTACGAAATATGGATATTAAATTCCACTGTCAGTTTTAAGGTTTCAAAGCTGTGGAATTGTTGAATGGGGTGAATTGGGATTTCAAATAATTGAATAATAATTGGGGATAATCTTCCATAAATTATTGTATTCTACTAAGAAGCAAGAGTATGTAATGCAGTTAATTAACAATCAAGATATGTTTACGAACACAATCCTAATCGTGACAGTGTGCTATATACTACTTGATAGGAAGTGCTATACATTTTGAGGTGTCTTCAAAAACGCGGCGGAAGAAGGCTCAATAAAAACAGTGTCACTACATTATCAATGTTTTCATGTGCGAGTTGCAAGTTCAGGTGCAAGCTCGAAGCAAATTTATAGTGTATTTTGACACATAAACAATACTCATAGCCACGAGACATTATTCCTAACAATCTTAATATCATGGTGGTATTATGACAATTTAATAATCCGGCGTCAACTAGGCATTGTCAAATGCCAATACCGAACATAGCATTTAGTCCAATCCGGTATTCAACCATTCGGGGTTCGAACTCTGAGTCCACGACTATTTGCCCATTACAACACCCACTGATTAGTATTAATATTCTGTAACAACGGAAGCTAAATACGGAAAACTATTTTCATAGTTGTAGTTGTTGCCGCTCTCGCGGGTTGCTTTTATAAAATCACATTGCGAGCAAAGAATTACATCTTCATTGATAGTAACAATTTCATAACCTTACCAGTAGTCGCGATTAAATTAGAAGGACAGATATATATATATATATATATATATATATAT